GACAACCCAAGAAATGGAAGCCTCCGACCAGGGATGAAAGGGTGGAGAAAGATGTCGAAGAGATCATTGCAATCATTCGCGACGAACCACGCTTCATTGCTGTGCCTTCGGCCGCCATTGACCGGCGTCTCCTTGGGAGGGTCGGCATGGACGAGGAGCAAGGGCATGTGGATGAGGTTCACTATGACTTCGCGCAAGGTGTAGACGCAGCCACACTACCTCAGGAAGATGTTCGCATGGATCATGAAGAACCAGAAGGCGATGCAGATAACGTCGAAGACGATGCTTTGAGAATAGCAAGGGCAAAAGCCTGGGATGCTACAAGGGTCCTCATGAATGGATCATTCGAAGTGAACACCGACAACCCTCAGAACCTATGCGTACTTTGCGGAAGCCCAGATCATGGATTCCGTAACTGTGACAACAACTCTGAGATGAGGCGGGTTATGTTCCAAGCATTCGAGGCCATGTCCAAAGCTATCACATCATTCTCCCGGGTGTTATCCCTACAGGAAACAACGGAAGGGAGAACTGATCGTGAAGGACAAGCGTCGGCAGCAACAATGGATGTTGATGTTGAAAGCATTGCTTCTTCCTCCTCGAGACGTCCAAAGGCGAAGGCTATGCCCAGGCGTGGTGCTCATGGAGCACACACCGGCATACGCATTGTGGAGTACGACTCACCTCAGGTACTCGGGTACGCCATCAATCGACGCAGAGGAGAATATGATGCTTGCGGAGAATCCATCTTCTCCATGGGACTGCGAAACAACCATGAAGTATGTGAGAGGATTGAACGGTGCACCTCTCACCGCGACAGGAAAACGCCACAGCGAGGAGACCGTCGGCTGTATCCCTACGTGGACCAAAATGAGCATTGGAAAGGGTACAGAAACCCGTCCTACGTTTGCATTGCCGATGAAGTTCATTGCGGAATACTTGACCAGATCCCAGACCGGGGCTGCCATTTCTGTCATCCTGACTGGAGGAACGTTTACCCTTGTCCCATTGTGTTCGACCTGAGTGGTGATCGCAATTGGTGTGGCGAGAAAGCAGTGAGGAATATCCAAAAGGATTTGAGACACTATGTCGGACGGAATGCTGGGTTTAGGGTCGGGCAGAATGACATACCGATCATCCCCTGTGATGAAGGTGCATGGGTCAGATTAGACTTTATCCTTCAACAAGATCCGCTATGGTGCAATCCAAGAAGGGAGCTGAACTGCAGACCGCTGAGCCAATACCGCTCCAGGGACGACAGGAAACGAGAGCTTTGCTATCGGTTACAAATGTTGTTCGATGGTGTCAACTCAATCGCCGTACGAACAAGGCGGGTATGTCTACAGTTCTTGGGGATACGCTTGGGTGACCCACCGCAACATGTACCCATTGTCGAAGACATGCGAGCTTTTGACAGCCGAATGGTTACATTGGCTATGCAACGGCACGAACTTCAGCTATCTGATCACACCAGGCGCTTGTCCGACGAGGAGATACATTTGTGCGACGGCTGGGTTATGCCTTGGGCAATCCGAGCAACAAGTGGACACACCATGACACCGGAGGTCACCGGCATGGAGATTGATCCGTCCAAGTTCGCAATGTCTATCAGCAATACCCTCGCGAATGCCATTCAAGGGGCATTCCATGCAACCCAGTGCTACAACCTCAAAGAGATCATGGAAAGAGGTATCAAAGCCGGCCGGGATCTCATGGAGGACCGCCGTGCATCGGGAAGACTCCATAATCACTGGGGGGTATTTGCACCATTCGATACCAGGACCTTACAAGGGTGAGGTCAAGCGTCAACACATCGCTGCCTCTAATCGTGCTCTACGTTCCGATCATCGACCTCGTCAGAGCTGGAGGAAGGATCACCGAAAGCGGCATCATCGTCTGCAGAATTCCTTTCCGGTTCGTCAAAGAAGTATGGCTTGGCATACCCGACGATCGACGTCGTCGCGGATATGATCTTGTGGAGAATCTCTTGGACTATGAGTTGGAAGACGAAATCTGTACCAAGTACAGTACGTCACCAATTGCAAAGGAGTTTACTCGAAACAGGACAACCGAGAGACTTATGGAACTGCTGTGCGAAATGCCGAATGGTCCACATGACGCAGCCAAGGAACAGTTCGTGGCAAGACTCGGAGACTACGCTGGCGTCGACTGGAGTACCGTTGATTGGCAACGCTACAACAGGCTCTACGAGGACGCCATCAACTTCGTTATGAAACATACACCACCAATGGAGCAAGCCCGAAGTCGTCGAGATCATGATCTACGCTATCGACTTTGCCCTTGGTGCCTACAGCAAACACCGTCATGCCTGTCAAGATGTGCAACGTGCTTCACAGATTTGTTCTCGGTTGGAAGGTTCCATCGCACAGTGCGCCAGGAGGAGTCTCCATGGGAGGTCCCCAGCGACGTGATCAATCGTTCACTAGAACAAGCTGAGACGGCCGCAAATGAAGATCCATTGATCGAGGAAGACGAGCAGACTGTCGCTGAGCCTGAACCTTATGATGCGGTAGATCTCGGTCCTGATGCACCTGAACCAGCACCTGAAGATCCTGAACCAGAGGATGAAGAGGATGACCCCGAGACAGTCAGCTCGCGAATTCCTGTGTTGGTTGGTGACATCAACTACCACATCGACCAAGATCTAGAACACGCAAGGGCTAACTTGCAGGTTCCCGTCTACATCCAAGTGGACAAAGCATGTGCAGTGGACCCCAATCTGATCTTGGCACGTTATGTGGCCTATGTCATATGCAGCTACATCTACAAGAACTGGAGGGCAAACATGAAGTGGTTGGACCTTCCGCGACAGGGCGTGATACAATTGTTCGAACGAGGATGCCGCCACGACGCTCTCGGCAACTGGGGCCCTGCTCTTTCCGAAGTGGACCCTGACACGTTGCTATCTAGAGATGTCCATGACGAAGAGGTTCTCGCCTATGGTCGAAGCAAACACATGGACGAGGATCCTGATGGCGAATTCCTGCTCATCAAATTTCGAACCAACCAGTTGATTTCCAAACTCATGAGGGGAGCATCGCAGCTGGGAAGGGGAAGAGAGCGGTTCAATCCCGCCAACCACCTACGTGCAAACCAACTACTTACTGCACCCCAGATGCATTCAAGCTGTTATGCGTTGCTGCAGAAAGTCGTCGGCAAAGTCACTGGGCACAACAACTTCACAATGCTGCGTCCTAGTACCAGCACGACTACCGACCATGTCCTATGCATTGACCCTTGCGGTATTGCACAGATGATGGGTAGCAAACAAATCCCAGTGGAACTACTTGCTCTTTTGATCGACAGCGGTATACAACTACCAGCATCGTTCCGCCAACGCATTACCGCCACACGGCAATCAGCTGGCAATTCCAGAAATCCAGCGGCCTTGGCGCACTTGCCGGCGAATATCCCAGAGTTACAGAACAGGATCATGGATACTCCTGTCAGCTCTACGGAAGCCGCGGAACTTGAAGCAGCTCGAGGACATCGTCAACGTCGCCGACGTGATGAAGAAACCGAAGAGCCTGCTCCTCCTCCACAACATCCACGACGCGATCGATGGCAGCGTAATCATGCCTACGACAATCGATGGCACAACTGACGGACTACCTGCACATTGTCGCCTCCATCGATTACTTCTTCGCTATGAAGACATGACTCATTGCGCCACATTTCGCGCATATTTCTTTGAGTGTTTCCCTCCACTTTTCACCGAAGCCGGGGATCGCACCCGACGTAGTCACGTTTTCACGCAGCGCTTAATTGGGCAGTTCTACACGCAAGAGACCAGCATCGCCGTTGAGATTTCTTTCTTTTCAGGTCCCACTACTCTCCTCTTTTCGTGAGCGAAGCTGAAAGCCTCACTCATGGGGGGTGTGAAGAGACCTCGATACCTAATGCAATGTTAACATACATCACATGGGCCGTCTTGGACGACCATGTTGATATGTCACGTGGGCTGTCTTGGACAACCATGTTGGCCAATCGGCTATGAGACATACTCCGGCGAATGTTTGGCTCAAGTCAAAGGTCATACTCAAGCCACGAGCTCGAAGAGCACGAGGCAGAGGACAAAAGGTAGAACACTATCTTAGCCTGTCTCCGGATATCTGCAATTGCGTGTATCGCCCCTTGCACAGACACTTCAGCTGTATCGCGAAGAAGCGAAAAGGGACGTGAAGGTGCCTGCTCGGGTAACGTTACTCAGTGCGTGTGCATAGGCAACCACAACCTCAACACGAAGCTCGGTGAGGTGAGCGAACATACAGTATAATATATCACGATCAAACCCTCACGCACTAGCATTACATACCAGACAATGCTAATAAGACAAACCCAACATGACAGTACGTCACTACATGCTAAAAGGTGTCTTGATATAGTAGAAACATACTGGTAGCTACACAACAGACTAACGCCTGTACCCTCAGCCGCCCCTTGTTCCAAGTTCACAACAGCCTTGAACCGGAAGTGTGTGTTCCGAGGGCCAGAGGTGAGCGGTTTGTGGATGGATGATGTGAGGGTGGGGCTTGTGTCGGTTTGGTTTTGGGTGTTAAGTGAATCTCCAACGGAAGGCCCCAAAAACTCAAGCAGTTAACTCTTTTAATCCCCGAACACGTCCTATTGAACACCCACTTGAGGCAAACCCTTAGCGTTCCTCTTACGCTCTTCCGAGCGTCACGGTGATTCTTGTGGTTCTTATCTTGCATCTCAATCGAATGGGCTACATGGGAACCCGGTTCCTTGGGAAACCCACCTTTTTAGAACCCCAAGCCTGCACCCAAACCCCAAACTCCCAAACCCGAAACCCTAAACCAGACTCTACACCCCTAAACCCTAAACCCCTAAACCCTAAACCCTAACCCCTAAACCCTAAACCCTAAACCCTAAACCCTAACCCCTAAACCCTAAACCCTAAACCAAAACTCTATAAACCCTCAGCCCGAAGTTACCGCTCTCACGTCGCCTGATGAGAGGCGGGACGATGGCCGGCAGCAACTACACAACGGAAGGCCCGAAGGATCCTTTGGATCAGTTTGAGGATGAAGAGGGCTAGGGTTTAGGGTTTAGGGTTTAGGAGGCTTTGGGTGTAGAATGAGAGCCGTATTTTTTAGGGTTTTCTTATCATACGTTTACTATAATCTACCCCTATCCGCGCTATCCTACTTGTTAAGGCTCCTATTTTCACCCCAAGTCCACTGCACTAAACCCCCAAAGTCTTAAATCCCTAACCCCGAAAACTCTAAACCCTGAACCCCTAAACCCTTATACACCTAAGCCCTCAACCCCTGCACCCTAAACCCCTGAACCCCTTAAACCTTTAAACCCCTAAACCCTAAACCCCTTAAAACTCTTGAACCCCTTAAAATCCTTCAAAACCCTAAACCTCTTAAAACCCAAAACCCCTTAAAACCCTAAACCCCCAAGCCTTTCCGGCCTCGGGGTTCAGGGTTAGGGTCTTTAGGGTTTGGGATTTAGGGTTTAGGGGTAAGTGCTTTGAGGGTTTAGGGTTTAATGTTTAGGGCTTCAGGATTTTGAGCCAAGACTCTACCCTGAAGGAGTGGTACTGCAGGATTCAGGGTTTAGGGTTTAGAGGGTTTAGGGTTTAGGGTTGAGAGTTTATAGGATTCAGGGTTTAGGTTTTAGAGTTTAGAGGGTTTAGGGATTAGAGTTTATAGGTTTCAGGGTTTAGGGTTCAGAGTTTAGAGGGTTTAGGGTTTAGAGTTTATAGGACTCAGGGTTAAGGGTTTAGAGTTTAGAGGGTTTAGAATTTAGGGCTTCGGGCTTACTGTATGTGGTTTGGGGTTTAGGGCTTAGGGAACCCAAACCCTAAACCCTAAACCCAGTAACTAGCCCTTGCGAAATCCCTAAACCCTAAACCCTAAGCCCTAAACCCTAAACCCTAAACAAAGCCTTATTATAAGTATGAAGGCTCCTGTATCGTCTGCGACAGCTTGGAAAGGCGACGGCTCCGTTGTGGGAGTTCGACAGGCAGTCGACGAGTTCGCCGCGAGTGGCTGTGTCTGCGATTGTTCGATTTAGGGGTGTAGGGGCAGATTTTTGGGGGGTCAGGTTTAGGGTCTATGGTTACATTCAACGTCCAGGGTTTAGCACTCATAGGTCTAAGTGAGGGTGCCACCTCTCAATTTCACGAAGAGCAGCTGAGTTGCATTCCCATTTGTATCCCGGGGGTTTAACGGTTTAACATAAGCCTTAAACCTTAAACCCTAAACCCTAGATACGGAACGGGCTTAAACAGTGTGCATCTTCATCACCATCGCAGTGCGACCTCATCTTCACCTTCGTGGGTCTCTCTGCTCAGCAAAAAAAAGACGGACCCCAATACTTGCAGCTACTTTTCCGCAGGTTAGTATAGCATAGTATCCCCAAAAAAGTAACATTGGATCTGAAACCAATTGCGCATATACTTCTGCAGGTTCGTAGAGTATAATATGCCACGAAAAGCCCTACTTGGAGGTTCATGGGTAGTTATAAGTGGAGTTATAAGTAGGGTAACCATAATTATAACCCATATCAGGGGACTTATAACTCCACTTATAACTACCCGTGAACCTCCAAGTAGTCTAAGTATAGAGGTCCCTATGTTGCCAAAGCTGTTTTCCAGTATCAGGTATGGGCCTCCCTGTCTTCATCACAGAAGACGCCGAAGAGCCTACCTGGATCTTGCAAAAGCCGGGCAGCGTGTGAGGAAAAAACGAAAGTCGCTTGAACTGGGGTTTTGGGTTTAGGGTTTGTGTTAGAGTGCCGACTATTCAGGATGTATGTGACATGAGGGTTATAGAAATCCCGCATGGCCTGATTTCTCGCGTACTTTGGTCTGAACATGGCTTTCCCGACCCTCTACCCTGAAGCAGGAATCCTGGGTCAAAGGGAGTGGTGATGTCCTTGGGGTTAGCTATTTTTGATGACTACGAGCTGTTTAATTTTCATTGATCGAATGGTATCGTACTTCCTCCTTTTAAAGGCCTGTACCTGGTACTGTGTTGGTACTGTGTTTAGGGACTTCGAGGGTTTAGGGGGGCTGCAGCTTGAGCATGGGCGTAGGCCGCAGTAATGAGTCATGTTACTATGACTATGACCCCCAACTGCAATCCAGGTCTCTGCCAGGTTGCTAAACTACCCTAAACCCTAAACCCTAAACCCCTAAACCCTAAACCCTTTTAGGGGACCCTGAAATTTGACATGTCCGGCCCGTATCTGGCTGAGGCCCTCATCGTCTTGCTCTCCTACCGGTGGAAGTCTGAAGCGTGCGGGGCCGAGTTCCAAACTTTAGGGTTTAGGGTTTAGGGTTTAGGGAATCATGCCCAGTGAATGACGATATCGGTGGCGCGCTTGCTACTGCATCCTGGTTTTAACAGCTCGCCACCGTCATCATGACTATATTGTATCAATGCTAAATAGTACTAATGACTCCTAATTCATATACCCTAAACCCTAATCCCTAAACCCTAAACCCCTAAACCCCTAAACCCCTAAACCGAGAACATGATTTTCCCTACGCAGGGTGCCGAAGCCGGCGACATGAAAAAGACAAATCTGAGGATCCAGGTAAGCATGGGTAGAAGTGGGGTTAGGGTTTAGGGTTTTGGGTTTAGGGTTTTAGAGCATGGGTATAAGTGGAGTTATGGTTTAGGGTTTAGGGTTTGTTTAGGGTTTAGAGTTTAGGGTATAAGTCGGGTTATGGTTTAGGGTTTAGGGTTTAGGATTTTTTTAGGGTCTAGAGTTTAGGGTCCATGGGTAGTTTGAAGTGGGGTTAGAAGTAGGGTAACTATAAGTATAACCCATTTTAAGGGACTTATAACTCCACTTATAACTACCCCCTATGAACCTCCAAGTGAGGATCGAGGTAAGCATGGGGATCTTCAGGGCTTCGGGTTTATGGTTTAGGGCTTAAAGTTGAGGGCTTAACGTTTAGGGTTTAAGGTTTAGGGTTCAGGGTTTGGGGTTTAGGCAGTGTAAGGTCTAGGGTCTGGAGCTTAGGCTTTAGAGTTAGACGGTGAAGATGCTGATGTGGTTCCACGCGACAACGATCAGAGCATCGTATTACCATGGTAACTTGACGGCGAGTGTGGGGATGTGAGGTAGCATGACATGCTGGTGAAATTGAAGTGAGGAGTATGCACAGCACAATCGCAAAACCACATCGGAAGGGACTGTCGGCACCATTGCCGTGATAATCGTAGTCATCGCCGTTCAAGGCACACGTTTTTGTCGAATCTGCAGCAGCACCAGCACCGGGGGCATCAACAGGAGCAGCAGGAGGTGAAGCAGTGTAGTAGTAGTACTTCAGTATTAGTAGTAGTAGTAGTAGTAGTAGTAGTAGGAGTAGTAGTAGTAGTAGTAGTAGTCTTAGTAGTCTCAGTAGTCTTAGTAGTAGTAGTAGTAGTAGTAGTAGTCGTCGTAGTAGTAGTAGTGGTCGTCGCCGTAGTAGTAGTAGTAGTAGTAGTAGTAGCAGCAGTGGTACCATGACCACTGAATCTTTGCTGCTTAGGGCCACCATGGAGGCCGTGGCCTTCCTGAACGCAGGCAGGTTTAGGGTTTAGGGGTTTAGGGGTTAGGGGTTTGGGTTTAGGGTTTAGGGTTTAGGGTTTAGGGATTAGGGGTTTAGGGTTTAGGGTTTAGGGGTTTAGTCGTTTAGGTGTTCAGGGGTTCAGGGGTTCGGGGTTAGGGTTTAGGGGTTTAGGGCTTTAGGGTTTAGGTTTGAGGGGAAGGGCTTAGAGCTCTTGGCGACCGGAGACTCGAAGGTCGCTTATAGGCGCTTGCGGGCTTTGGTTTGGAACTCGGGGGTCCTAGAGACTGTTAGGGGTTTAGAGTTTAGGGTTTTAGGGTTTAGGGTTTAGGGTTTAGGGTTCAGGGTTTAGGGTTTAGGGTTTTACTTGCGGGCTTTGGTTTGGAACTCGGGGGTCCTGGAGACTGTTATAACAAGGTTGTCACTAGGCCTTGTGTGTACGTGTGTGTGTTGTGTAACCATGTGAATACAGGCATATATCATATGTCGAAGCGCTTTTCTTCTTATAGATAGCCAGCCTTAAGTGTAACACAAGCTAGAGCTCTACTTATCAAATTGCTACTTAGTGTCTGGTCCTCCAGGAGGGGTTAAAGATGAGCTGCAGCCTCGACTGTGTTGAAAGGCTTGTGGCTGGGCTTTGGCTTATTTTGCCGCCTAAACCCTGCAACTTTGGGGTTTGGGATTCGCAGATGGACGCTTCTAATGTTTGTGCTCGATCAGCGACTTCAGGTCACTTGAACTCTTGTCCCGGTCAAAGTTAAACCTGTCATGCTGCCTGCCGCCCTCTTTCGCAAAGGTTTGTTCTCCCGTAGACTGACATGTCTGCCCAGGCAGATGGCATCCTTGCTAACGACCGTTTCATCTTCTATCATAGTTTATGTGAGGGTAGGCTGCTTCAGTTTTGAGAGGGTAGGTCGGTCGCTTCAGGCTGGAGTTGCAATCCCCCCATAAGCCCCAACACTTCAGAAGCTCCAACATTGAGTGAACCAGCGAACCCAGAAGTTTGTGAATCTGCTCTCCAACTACTTGGAGGTTCATGGGTAGGTATATGTGGGGTTATAAGTAGGGTAACTGTACTTATAACCCATATTAGGGGACTTATAACTCCACTTATAACCCTAAACCCTACACCCTAAACCCTAAACCCATGAACCTCCAAGTAGCAGTCTCTTCAACATTTGCGGGCGTTCGGGGCTTCAACTCCGAGCTGTGAGGGTGTGATACGTTTTGCCAGCGTGGGAATCGGCGGAGATTCGTCAAGAAGTACAGTGACCGGCGGCTCATGCAGAACTTTACAACACATGCGACTGGTTACCCTGGTTCTTGGCTTTGGCCGCATGTAAGAACACGCTTTGCCAGAATCGTGAACAAAACATCATCGAGAATCCTAGCTACGTTATTGGGGCCCGACTCCCTGGCGGCTTGGCATGATACTGCAGGCTACAAGTACGGTATGTACTGGTGGGACGTCCTCATGCTCCTGGCTCAGTCGTTGACTTCAATTTCAAGCTGTCAGTTGCATTGGGTACTTTAGGCTCCGGCTAACCTACCCTACACCCTAAACCCCTAAACCCTAAACCCTAAACCTACTAGAGCGACCAATGTAAGACCGTTTTTTTTATCGTGTCCTTCGCCCTCGTCCGCAGGAAGGATAAAAAGTGCTGCCCTGTGCTGGTTGGGTATGTTGAGTCCCTCAGTGTTTTCGCGGGCCTGCGGGTGGCTATGGGGAAGACTTGTTGGAGCCAGAAACAGACGGATGTGTTGATATTGTCATGATATACGTACATATTTCAGAGAAAGTGTGTGTGCATATGTATGTATGCATATATCTCTCTCTATATATATATATGTTTATATCTATACATGCATGTATACAAATCTCTATGTATGTACGTATGTATGTAGTATGTATGTATATACAGAAGCACATGAATGTCTATGTACATGTATTCATATATACACACACATACATATTCGGTATTCCCCAAAAGAAGTACCTCCTTTGCTTTTAATTCTAAACCCGAAACCCGAAACCCTAAACCCTAAACCCTAGACCCTAAGCCCTAAACCCTAAACCCTAGACCCTAAACCCTAAACCCTAAACCCGAAACTACTATTCATATTCTTTAGTATACTCCTCTAAGGGTCGGCCGCTCTGCGGCGTCTTTCCTGCTGATGGCGGTGCCGGGCAGGCCGATTCCGGGGCTCTCTGGGGCGCTTCGTGGGCTTAGGGTTTAGGGTTTAGGGTTAGTTTAGGGGTTTAGGGGTTTAGGGGTTTAGGGTTTAGGGTTTAGGGGTTTAGGGTTTAGGGTTTCGGGCTACGGGGGTTTAGGGATTTTGGGTGGATTTGGGCCTAGGGTTTGGGGAAGTTTAGGGTTTAGGTTGTAGGTAGGGGTTTAGGGATTTGGCGTTTAGGGAAGTTTAGGGTTTAGGGTTTACGGGGGCTCCTGCTAATTGTACGGATACTGCTTTAGGCTTCCTTATCTTCTGATGACTGGCAATGTCTGTGAGCGCGTCTGATTCTGATACGACTTTCGGATAACCCAAAAACCGTTGAGGAATCCTAGACTCCAAACCCGAAAGCACGAAACCACAAACCCTGAAACCCGGAACCCCCCTAGACCCTAAACCCTAAACCCTAAACCTCTAAATCCCTAAACCCTACAAACCCTAAAACCCAAAAAACCCTAAACCCTAAACCCCTAAATCCCAAAACCCCAAAACCCCAAAACCTGAAAAGCCGAATGAGCCAAAAAGAGACGAGAGATGCTCTGGGTTTCGGTTTAGGGCTTTAGGGTTTGGGGGCTTTAGGGCTTTAGGGTTTGGGGGCTTTAGGGGTTTAGGGTTTGGGGGCTTTAGGGGTTTAGGGTTTAGGGTTTAGGGGTTTCGGGTTTAGGCTAGGGTTGAGGGGTTTAGGGTTTGGGGGCTTTAGGGGTTCAGGGTTTAGGGTTTAGGGGTTTCGGGTTTGGGGTTTTAGGGTTTAGGGCTTTGGGGGTTTAGGGTTTGGGGGTTTGGAGTTTTAGG